TGGGATCTTTTATATTACAGGTTTTAATAATGGCTGTCTCTGAATGAGGAAGGTGGCTTTTTAACTTTCTGCAGGAAGAAGAAACGCAAAAAGGTCCATTCGATCTGAATAAAAACCAACCGTTTCACTCCCATCTTCATTTAATGACAGCCTTGCAGTTTGTTTTTTTACTCATGATATTGTTTTAATGAGCTCGTACTTGTACACTGACCTCAGACTAACTTCTCTTCTCTTTGTTGTCTTCCCTCTCAGATCTGTCGTGAGCAGTTTGTCGCCCTGCACAGCCAGCCGATTCTGCAGGATCTTTCCAACTTCATGCTACAGAAATACTGCAACACCCTCTTGTAAGGAATCAGYCTTACGTTCAGTGTTCATTTGATGCTCGCACACGTATTTGGGAGTTAACAGTACAAAGGAAGAACATTAAGTCAGCATTTTCATGTCAGAAAAACAAATCYTATTCAGTATATTTTACAAATTTTCTGATTTGGAACTTTTCATYTTGAACTCGTCAGAGCTTTTTATTCTTCTATGTATAGTCTTTTTGCATCCGTACAATGTCTGACAGCCGGTACGTGTGTGAGCAATACAAAAGATTTACTCCCTCAGTTAATCTGAGCAGGGTGAGTTTCTCCTCTAGTTGTCTGGAACAGATCCACTGATGTTCACTTCTTGTCTCTGTCTCACTGGCCTTTGGGTGGGTCACGGTCATTGTACACATCCTCCAAAGTTTTGTCTCTTTGGAGTAATTGGATGCCTTTTCGAAGGCCTTTACTCTTTACCCTCATCCTCTTCTCCTCTCCATCATTGTTACTGTTCCAAGACTTCCCAAACAGACTCTGGTYGGCGTCAGAGAAGAAAACGCGGGGCGCTGCAAAGACAAAACTGATATTCCTTTAGGCACTGATACATGTGTCTGTACTCAGGCATTTAACAACTATCTGTGCATATTGATTATCAAAAAATATGTTTAGAATCCTGTTGTATAGTAGGAAGGACTGAACAGAAAATGAGTGAAAAAAACAGCAAAGCCTCAAGTTTTGGATCCTTCAATAAAATACCCCCAAAAATTGTAGGTGCTTCATAACTTCTGCACAGTTCCATATATAAACATTGGAAAGAAGCTAAATTCTGATGTCAATCCAATTTAAATCCTTCATACCATTACTCAGCAGAACTGAGTGACACTTGGAGGACTGAACATCTCAGAGACGAGTCAAAGAATTTTCTGTCCACTTCATATTTTTTTAGACACACAAACATACTGTATTGTTGTTTTCTCTGAACTCATTTTCTTCTGTTCCTTTCTGTCAGGACTGAGGTCAGCAAGAAGAATTGTAAGGAGCACAAGAAGCTGGTATCAGTGCTGGCCAATGTGCCTCAGTCAGGTCAGTGTTTTATACAGCTGCACAACACCTGGCATCACATCAACGGCTGGGCTTTCTTTGATTGGAGTTGGGGTTGGGGAGCAAACGGGGTAKAATTTAATTTGAGTTCTGCATTTATGCACAAAAACTGTTTTTAAGTTCATGATTTGTGTGATAAAAGAGGTCAAGGAGCTTCTTTCAGTTTTAATGTCATCTTTACTGTTATGACTCAAAAGATGCATTTTATGAAATCCAGATAATGTTTAAATTTATTTTTAATAATCTTCCAAAGCAGAACAGGGAGTTGGGAGCTCCAGTCAAAACAAATAATAGAGGGAGACGCCTCGAACCCACGTGTCAAATTCAAGGCCCATGGGTCAAACTTGGCTTGCCATGCCATTTTTAATGGCTCACAAGAGCTTCGAAGGTGGACAGTATTAATGTCTTAAAGCAGGGGTGTCCAAACTTTTTGTCACGTTGGCCAAATTTATAAAGTCAGAAGGATTTGAGGGCCAAAAATATTTTTCTTTACCTGCTCAACAATAAACTAGGCATTGAATATTTTAATTAAACAAATAAAGAGTCAGATTTATTGCTGGAAATGGGTGCATAAATTAATCTAGATCCAGAACTTGAAAAGTGTTTTGCAGGTTTCCCTTATTGAAAGAAATTGCAATTTCCTAGGTTTCAATTGGGGGGAAAATTACCCAATTTTGATCAATAAAATCAGGATTTAGGTCACTCTTTTGTTTAAAATGCTTGCTGTATTCAGACAAATTTAATAAATTAGTTAAAAGAAGATTGGAGTGCCGCAAAATCAGCTTTTGAGTAGAAGTCACCAGATAGATGTGGAAAAAGCTAAGAGACAAATAATTGGTATTGTTGCCAATATTTTTTATTGTAATATTTTACTTTGTGATAAATTCACTCTAATAATAAATAGAAAGTCTCCATCTACATCAAACACCTGTGCAGGGGGGGACAAATTTGTAAACAAATTAGTATAATTCTGGATCTGAAGTCAGGGGCCACACAAAATCAGTTCAGGGGCCACAGATGGCCCCCAGGCCACACTTTGGACATCGCTGTCTTAAAGTAAGGATATGCTGCTTTAAAACCAGCTTTAACCACACACTACATCTCACATAATGCATGTTGATTATTTTGCCTGTGAAATGACAGCATCCCACCACTAGGTGGAGGCATAAAGGATTCAAAAGRAGCAGGCAAACATTAAAATTCTGTGTAAAATTTCCATTTTGCTGCATTTTTGCTGGCTACTTTTGCTACAGCCCAGTTGTACTAGGAAGCTGTAAATTATCCACTAATAAATCGTGAATATAAACTGGAACGCCCCTCTACTGGTAATTCCCTGTCGGAAAGTGGGAGAATTTGGAATTCAGGTAGCCACTTATCACAACTCAACAGTGAGTGTATAAATATTCACCCCCTTTAAAATAACTGTCCTAATTCAGTTCATCTTCATCTTCTACTCCTCATCCGTGGTTGGGTCAATCCGTGGTTGGGTCACAGAGGCAACAGAAACCCAGACCTCCCTCTCCTCAGAGGCTGTGTCTCAATTCAGGGGCTGGGTCCTCATGAGTGAGCATTTGTCGGCCGCATACGTCATTGCCCCGCGCGGAGGAC